ATTTGGGTCCGTGGAGCCTGGCAGAGGGACGGGGTTGACGTGGTTCCATTTTTGTGTTAGAGGAGCCCGTCCTGGCAGGAGAGAAGCCGAAGCTGAGAACCATCAGCTCATTGCAGGAGTGTCCTCTGCCCCCCACCTGCCCCCCGGGAAGCACCGCGGGGTGCGGCTCCTCTGACCCTCTCGGAGCTGACCCAGCAGCCACCTGGGAGATGGGTTCTGGTGCCAGCGGGACCTTTGCAGTCGGACTCACCACTTGGAAGGTCTTGCTGTGGCACTGGTCCAGCGGCGCTTGGGTGATGCCCAGTTTCTGCTTGACAAGCAGGAGCTCGTCCTCACTGCACAGTTGAAAGGTCGAACACTGATGTGGGGGGAGAAGAAAAGGCCCCGTCAACATTGCCTCTGTCTCAGCTAGCGAGTAGGGTTGCCAGATGGTTTAACCAAAAATACCGAACATCTCTCCCCCCTTCCCCCCCAAAAAAACCCAAACACACACCGGGGAAAAAATTATTTGAGAAAAAAAGAAAGGGGAGACCAGGGTTGTTCAGCAAAAAAAAAAAAAAAAAGCGTGGCCCCTTTAAGAAACACTTTTGAGTCTTTTTGGCTCTAACAGGTGGTCACCGGCAGCTTCCCACCATCTTGCCTCCCTGCACCGGGCCAGACAGCTCCCCTGTGGAACCCGGTAAGCACCCGGGATTTTCACCTCCTGGCTGGGAAAAAATTATAAAATACTGGACATTTTAGATGTCCCGTATTTTCTGAATTTTTTTACCAGCCAGGAGGCGAAAATACCAAACGGTCCGGTTCAATACCAGACACCTGGCAACCCTACTAGCAAGGGCTTTTCCTGGGCCCCCCTCGCGGCTGAGAATGGGACCAGCCTGGGTTCCAGATGCCCCCCAACCCTTGAAACACTCTGGGGAAAACTGGATCCACCATTGTCAAGTGCCAAGCACGACGCAGGGGCAGAGAACAAGACCCAGGGCCCGAGGTGCGAACGAAGCCAGCTGGCGAGGCCGCGGCAAGACGAGGCTCTGGGGGTTGGTTATAGCAGGGCACAAGCTGCACAGGAACCCAGCGTGTGGGGAAAAAGGCTCCTGCCGTTCCGGAGAGCCATGACAGGTGTCTGAGACCCGCGGAGTGACTGTCCTATCCCGCCCTGCGTTAGGATGGGGAGCCGTTTTCCTCCGCGCTCGCGAGGCAAGAGACAATGGGCTCAAGCTGCCGCCAAGGAGGTGGAGGTCACATGTTGGGAAAAACTTTCTAGCTCAGAGGGGCAGGGCCGGGCTCAGCACCTGCCGGGGAGGGTCTGGGTTTGAGACCCGGCCAGCCCGACTTTTCCGTGATCCTATTCTTCTCGCCTGCCTTTTTCCCAGCAATGTTTTGCTGTTTGCATTTTGGTATCATCCTGCCCGCTGGCCCGGCCCTGAGACGGGCAGGAAAGGAGAGGGGCTCCGCTCTGCGCATTGGCCAGCGTGGTCCTGCGGGACCGTGGAAACCGGATCAAAGCACACAGCTCCGCTGGCGGCAGCCTCCCTGCCCCACCGGGTTAAGAGACTGGAAACCACAGGCCGCAATCTCCAGGAAACATGCCCGTTCCATTCGGATCCCCCGGGCTCGCGGCCTGGCCAAGGGCCGCTTCTAAATTTAACGCGATCGGCGCGAAAAAATTTTTTTGCGGGGAGAGGAGGGGGGCAAATCCTAAGGGCCTGGTTCTGAAAACACCTCGGTGCGGGAGTACCCGAATCGGGCTGCAGACGGGTACGAGGACCAGGCCGGGAGAGGGGCCAAAGCCTGAAGAGGAGGATTCACCATCCTGCTTGCCGCCTGCATCAGGCAGGGCAGAGACACCAGACAGGGAAGGCTGCAGTTTGCACCCGCTGCGCGGACGGATCCTCTGCCTCGTGGCTGGGCAAATTGTCAGGCCTGGTCCCCGAGCAGCGTCCAACGCCCCTGGGCAGGGATGCGAAGACGCCCGGTCCCTCCGGCCCCGGGGCCCAGCGGCTGCCGGTTGCTCAGTTCGCTGGCTCAGAAGGGCCCTCGTGTGTGACCCTGCCAGTTGGGAGCTGGTCGGGTATCTGTCCCCGAGGAAGTCCTGCCCCACCTCTCTACCTCAAGGGATGGCACCAGTGTGACTCCCAGCTTGTCTCCCGCGGCTCAGTCCTCCCCCCAACCCAAGACTAAGCAGGAGCTGCCGGGGGAGCCTGTCTGTCCAGATCTCTGTCCGTCTGCGAGCCTGGGGGAAGATCCCAGCAGAGATGAAGTCAGAATGTCGGTGCTCAGCGCGGGCTGCCGGCACCGTCCCTTGTTAAGTCAAGTGCACGGCACAGCTCTCCCCTCCAGGCTGTGGCCCCCAGCATGACCCCCTGCCGCCAGGGAACGCTGCTGCTTTCTCACAGCGGGGAGGAGAAGCCCCTTCGTGCAGCTGGAGAGATGAGCCCCCCCGGAGTGTGTCGCCTTCCCCCTCTCCCCGCCCCAACCTCCCACGACTGGCCTCCGCGCCTCTCCCGCGACTCACCATGAGCTCCTGCAGCCGGGCCACGTCCCCTTTGATTTTGCGGATGTATTCCAGGTCCTTCTGCAGGAACTGCTGGAAATCTTGGTCCCCAGAGAACTCGGGCAGGGGGGCTGCGTGCAGCATGGTGACCCCCAAGCCCAGCACAGTGCTGACTAGCAACAGCAGCACAGCTGGGGGAGAGAGGGGAAGAGACAGTCAGGTGAGTGAGTGCCTGTCAGGCAGGATGCAGCTTATAGCATCACCCCAAAACGTGCTGTGCCCCCAATTAGGGCCCCAATTGATGGTTTCAACAAAAATACCAGACACACTTGACCTTCCATCACAATCGACATTCCATCTTAGTTAGAAAACACCGGACATTTCTATTTTCTCAATGTGTTTCCCGAAGAGAAAGCTCAAATACTGAACTGTCCGGTTCAAAACTGGACCCCTGGCAACCCTACCCCCAATCTCTGCCCAAGGAGCGTCTAAATCAACCCAGCCTCTGTGAAAAGCGCTGACAATTAAGGCGAGAACAGGACTTTGATTTCTGCTTTCAGATGCCCAGAACTCAGAACTTTTTGGCAGTGAGACAAACACACCCGTAATCTGTACGAAATAAACCCCACCTGTGCCAAACATAACCCGTCCTGTATCAAACATGTGCCTTTCAAATGGGTGGATTTGTCCTCCCCGCTAGTCTTTTCCTGATTATACATAGACAAATATAGCAGGAAGAAGGAAAAAAAAGATTAAAAAAAAAATAAATAAAGATCAGAAAAACGAGCCAATCCTCCCACAGAGCAAACGTAGAAGGGGTTAGTCCCCAAATCAAACTTACCAGCCCGCTCACCTAGAATAAATCCAGGCAGTTTGCTACTAGGAGATCAGTGGCTACCGTTTCTGTGGCTGTCGAGTGAAGGTTCATACTTACTTTCAAGTGATCTCATTCTAAGTGCCAGGATCTTCTGGAATCTCCTCCCCTTTCGAGTTTATGACAGTTCCCGGGAATGCAAATCAGGCAGATACAAAAGCTGCACTAGTCCCTTTCAGTTCACGAATGCTGAACCTCTCATCAATACAAGGCATTTATAGTCTTGTAGGGGAAAATTCACTGTGATGAAATCATGACAAATCCTTCAGCTCACGACTAAATTCCTAGAATATTTACTCTGATAGATTTTGGATTTCGCCAAAAGGTGGTGGGGTTTTTTTAATTGTTTAATGGCTCCAACTGGTTGTCCTGAAGAGCTACTTTGTGGCTGTTACGTCCATTCTCCAGCCCTCTGGGGCAAGATGAAGAGAAACTCCATTGCCTTTTAAACCTCACAACAGCCCCAAAGCTGGCCTCTCCCCAAAATATCAGATGTCGTTGTGAGCGGACCAGACATCTCACTCCTGATCACACTTGGTTATCCTTAAAATTAAAAATAAGCAGCTGCTTTGTTCTGGAGCAACCTGAGAGGAGCGATTGTTGATTTAACCAAGTGCCTAGGTCTTTCCTTATTGCTTTGTTTGCTTGTGGTCAAGTAGAACCACTCATGTGGTATGGGCTTTGCCGGCAATGAAACCAGCATGTCTAGGCTTGCAGAGAGACACCTGTGCGTTAGGCATGGAGGGGGGCCCCTCGCCAGGGTGTCTGAACCCCAGACAGTCCCAGCCCACCCTCAGGAGAGAGGGAAGGATCACGAGTCCCAAAGAGGGAAACCGAGGCACGGCAAGGCTTTCGGCTGGCTTTCAAAGGTGGCTAGTGATGCTGGATGTCTCGCGGAAGGCCCTAAAATCAAGGAGCTGCCCTTGAAGATCTTGGCAGAAGGGACAGACCCCCAGGGCTGACGCCGGTTCCTTCTCCG